TTGTTCAAGTCCTCTATTTCTTTACTTATCTTCTGTCTAGCTGTTCTACCCATTATTTGTGGGGTGGGAGGGAAGGTGTATTAAAGTCTTCAACTATTATTGTAGAACTGGCTCTTTCTCCCTATGGTTCTGTCAATTTTTGCTTCATATACTTTGATGGTCTGTCATTAGGTATGTAAATGTTTATAATTACTATATCTTCTTGCTGTATTAAAACTTTTATTAATATATAGTGTCCCTCTTGTTCTCTTATAACCTTTTTTTTTTAATTTACTTAAAATCCACTTTGTCTGATATTCGTATAACCATCCCTGCTCTCTGTTGGTTACTATTTGCATGGAATATCCTTTTCCATCCTTTCACTTTCAACCCATTTGTGTCTTTGGACATAAAGTGAGACTCTTGTTTACAGCATATAGTTGGATCATGGTTTTTTATCCTTCTGAAAATCTCTGTCTTTTGACTAAAGAGTTAAATCTATTTACATTTATAGTAATTACTGATAAGGAGGGACTTCTGTCATTTTGCTACTTGTTTTCTATATGCTTTGTAGTATTTTTATGCCTCATTTCCTGTATTATTGTCTTTTGGTTTTAGCTGATTTTTTTTCAGTGAAATGTTTAATTCCTTTCTCATTTCCTTTTTCTGTGTACTCTTTAGCTATTTTCTTACCATGGGGATAACATTTAACATCTAAAGTTATAACACTCTAATTTGAATTTATACTATTAACTTCAGTAACATACAAAAACTCCACTCATTTAACAACTCCATCTCCACCTGATATAGTTTGAATATGTTTTTCCCTCCAAAGCTCATGTTGGAAACTTAATCCCCACTGTGATGGTGTTAAGAGGGTGGGAAATCCAATTATGGTAATTAAAAGGTGGGGCCTTGAAAAGGTGATTAGATTGAGGACCATGCCCTAGTGAAGGGGTTAATCCATTGTTGGTTCAATGGTTGTCATGGGCATGGTTCTGATGGCTACAAAAGGGGAGTGCATGAGAAGTGCTCTCTCTCTCTTGCTTCTGCCATTCTTGCCATATGATACTCTGCATCTCTGTGGACAGTCACCACCCACCATTAAGGCCCTCATCAGATGTGTTCCCTGGACTTTGGACTTCCCAGCCTCCAAACGGTAAGCAATAAAAATTGTTTCTTCACAAACTACCCAGTTTCAGGTATTTCTGGTATAAGCAATAGAGATCAACTAATACACCACCCCTTTTGGTTGTTAATGTCACAAAATTACATCTGAATACATGTGTCCAAAAACATAAACTAATAATTTTTTAATGCCTTAATCTCTTAAATTATGTAGAAAACAAAATGTAAAGTTACAAACCAAACTACAATAGATTTTAGAGTAATGATTTTTTAATGTATTAGTCTCTTAAACCATGTAGAAAACAAAAAGTGAAGTTATACATCATTGTTACAATAACACCAGCTTTTATAACTGCCCATGTATTTACCTTAACTGAGATCTTTATTTCTTCATACAACTTCAAGTTACTGTCTTTTGTCCTTTGATTTTAACCTGCAGAACTCTCTTTAGCATTTCTTGCAGGGAAGGTCTAGTGGTAACAAACTCTCTTAGTTTTTGTTTATCTGGGAGTGTCCTAAATTCTCCCTCACTTTTGAAAGACAGATTTGCTAGATATAGAATTCTTGGTTGATAGTTTCTTTCTTTTAGCACTTTGAATGTATCACCCCACTCTCCTCTGGCCCCAAAAGTTTCTGATGAGAAATCTGCTGATAATCTAATTTAAAATCCCTTGTATGTGACAAGTCACTTCTCTCTTGCTACTTCCAAAATTCTTTGTCTTTGCCTTTAGACAATTTGATTATAATGTATTTTAGTGTGGCAGTCTTTGAGTTTTTCCTACTTGGAGTTTGTTGAGCTTCTTGGATGTTTATATTCATGTCGTTCACCAAATTTGGGATTTTTCAGCCATTATTTTTTTCTCTCTCTCTCCTCTCCTTCTGAGACTCACGGAATGCATAGGTTGGTCTACCTGGTGGTGTCCTACAGGTCCCTGAGGCTCTGATCACTTTTATTCAATCTTTTTTCTTTCTATTCCTCAGACTCACTAGTTCCCATTGTCCTGTCTTTAAGTTTGCTGATTCTTTCTTCTGCCTCCTCAATTCTGCCTTTGAATTCCTCTAGTGAGTTTTTCATTTGTTGTACTTTCAGCTTCAGAATTTCTTTTTTGTTGTTGTTGTTTGGTTTGGGTTTGGTTTTGTTTTGCTTTAGGTTTTTGCTCTTTATAAATATTCTCGTTTTGTTCCTACATAGTTCTCTTGGCTTTCTCCAGTCTTCCTTTAGTTGTCTGAGCATCTTTAAGACAGTTGTCTTAAAGTTTTTGTTTGGTAAATACCCCATCAGATCTTTCTCAGGGACAATTTCTGTTCTTTTTTGGTTTGCGGGGGGGGGGGGGGGGGGGTTTTTTTTTTTTTTT